GTGTTTGGGAAGTCAGGAAAAGAGTCAGAGAGAATGCAATCCCAAATCTCCAGCAGCAAACAATTTGGGAAGTGAAGGTGATATTTACAAAGAGAAAACGGATTACAACCTGGGGTGAATGTGAGGTGCTAGATGTTATCAAGGTAGTAATGATCTTTACGTAGGCGTAAAGACTAGTCAGGAACATTGGGAAAGCCATCCACACTTGAGATAAAAATGGAAACCAGCTGCCTAGAAGCATAGATAAACCACAGGCCAAAGTCTGTGTGGGGTAAGAAGAAGGGCAGGGGTAAGACTTTTGTTCTATAGAGAATACGGGGTGTGTTCTCTCTCTAAGCCCTGATGCACTCATCTGTGAAATGCAGACAGTTCCACTGAGCCCTTGCATGATTCAAATGAAACAAATGCATGTAAGTTGTTTAGCAACTGTTAGGAACATAGCATGTGCTAGATCAACTATGTGGAGGACGGAAAGGAGGAAGGAGGTGAAGTGACAAGTACCATTATCATTGTCAGGATAAGGTTGAATCACTGAAAATGCCCAAGTTCAGAATGAACCAAAGCCAGCAGTCAGAAGGAGAGGAGAAAGTGGACAATGTGTGTGTTACATATGGGATGGCCATGTTAGTCTGGCTTTTCCTCCATAAGACTTGGAAATAGTAAAGGCCACAGAACCCGAGGAGAAAATATTGTGTTGCAATGTTCCTGTACAGGGTCTCAAACAGTGCAGATGTTCACTAAGTTTTCTGGGTGTTAAATTGAAGGAGAGAGATACATGTTATGCGTGGAAGTGTCCCTCAAGTCACATGATGCAAAGAGGTCATATCAAATCATTAGGGACCAGATAAGCCACGGGACTGGAGATGCAAATGTGACTGGTAAGTTTGGAAGGAAAACCTGTGGCGTGTTGAGGTAGAGGTGAGGAAGCAGTGGGTTTAGGGGCCTGAAGTTAGAGGGTAAAGGGGAAGGGGGTGTGGGTGAGTTTGGACCACTGTGAGCTGGAGAAACTTAACAATGAATGAAAGGGAAGAGTTGAGGTGATGATCTTAGCTGTCAGGAGCACAGGCATTTCCCTTAGGTTAGCCCTGGGGGGTGGGGATGGCGCTGAGGAAGGTCTGCTGAGCGGGCACAGGGTGGTCTGTCCTGACATGTTGGCTGTCCTTCTTGGGGTGGGCTGGGTGTCCAGGAACCCACCTCTCGTCATTAACAGGCCCAAGAGAAGCATCTTTTTAGTTGCTTCTCACCATACTGTCTTAGGCCGCATCAGGTAAGCAGGTGCTCTTTGAGGGAAGTCAGAGGGGGTAACCAGGGTCTGGAGCCTGATCTAATGAGGGGCTGAGAGGAGGATCTGCAGAATGGTACAGAATCTGCACACTGAGTTACTTTGCCAATGTATCCTCCCTCCCCAAGCCAAGCGGTGTCCTGTGCTTGCTGGATGAGGAGCAGGATCCTGAAGAGCAGCCTAGCACCACGCTGAAGGCACGGAGCCTCGGGCCAGGCTGGGTGAGAGTCATCCAACTGAGAACAAACAAGAATGGCCGAAGCAAAGCAGGTCGTGGCCTGGCTGCAGGGCCGCAAAGGACACGGAGAGCGCCTCAATCATCATCTCTTCAAGTTCATTCCGTGTCCTCTCACAGAAGGAGAACGGGAAGTGGAGTACAGGATGGCTGCCGCGCTCAGCCAGCCCCGAGCCCCGGGACAGAACAAGAGACTACCCAGAAGATGTCCCCTCGCTGTCCCCTGCAGTCCCTGGACCACAGCAGAGCCGCAGCCACAGAGTGACTCTCAGAACAGCAAGAGGGGGAGTGGCTGGGGCCCCCTGGGGCTCTCCAATGTCTTCAAAACACAGATTCTTGAAAGCATAACATCAACCTCAATGACTGAATTGTATCTAACAACTCCTTCCCTCCTTCCTTCCTTCCTTCCTTCCTTCCTTCCTTCCTTCCTTCCTTCCTTCCTTCCTTCCTTCCTTCCTTCCTTCCTTCCTTTCCTTCTTTTCTTTTTGTTGGTCACGGTGCTTGAACTCTGGGCCTGGGCACTGTCCCTCAGCTCTTCAGCTCTAAGCAAGCACTCTACCACTTGAGCCACAGCACCACTTCGAGTTTTCTGGTGGTTTATTGGAGATAAGAGTCTCACGGACTTTCCTGCCCTGGCTGACTTTGAACCATGATCCTCAGATCTCAGCCTCCTGAGTAGCTAAAATTACAGGTGTGAGCCACAGGCGCCCAGCCTAACAATTTCTTTTTTCCCTCTTGTGATTACTTACTTATTTATTTTTAACAGTGAGTTATTATTATTATTATAAAGGTGATATTTAGAGTCAATAATTTCCTAGCTCTTCTCAGTGTTCAAGAAATTATTGATAGGGTCAATTAAAAATAAAGGAAACCATTTAAGAGCTTAGATTTCTAGATCTTTGGTCAGGATTTTCATAAATTGTTGACCCACGTGTCTACCAAGTGAAATGGAAACTTGATCTTCAGCCTTGCCCGCAGGCTTGGACTAGACGCCCTGTGCTCTTTCTCCTGAGGACAACCTGCGTCTCGCTGCTCACCCCACCGCTCCACCACGGCTCAGGCCTTGGAGACACCATCCAAGGATTCCTCGAGCTGGAATCTTGTCCCTTCTCTGCACACTGCCCTTCAAGGCCCCCACCCCCTCAGCAGATGAGACTTAATAACAAACAGAATATGCAAGGTCCACAGGAAGCCAGGGCACCCTCACGGCGCTCCTTCCCTTCCCGTTACATGCAAAAACGGGAAGACAACTTGCTGTGTGAAGATGGCGTGGATTACCAGCCCACCCAATGGTCTGCGCTGCAGGCGGCTGAGCTCCCTGTGTTCCCTGGTTCACTGCCCGGGTTGTACGGGGCCTTGTCTTGGCCCTTCTGAGGGGAGGTCTTGGCTCAGGTTCCCCAGGGAGATGCGCAGCCTGAGGAAGGCACAAACGGAGCTAACCGTGCCATCTGCAGCTTCCAAAGCCGCTAACAAGGAAATGTGACTTCTATTCTCCAAAAACCACTTCTAATGAAACAAACGAGGCAGCCTGGCTGCATCAGTCCAGATCTCCCCCGCGAGGTCTGTGCTTTGAGGGGTGCACTGTGTCATCTGTGGAGACTCCTGTCCAGCTCCCTGGGGGAAAGCTGCTCACAACTGCCCTCACCCAGCCCCGCCCTCACCTCTCCCACACCCTGGAAAGACCTGGAAAGATAACAAAGCCAACACCCAGCCCACCTCTCACTCTCTGCCTTCCTCTCTCCCCAGTGAACTCCCATTTGTCTCCAATCCTGAACGTAGGTGGAAAGTGAGATTTAAAAGCAATAAACTGGAGAGGTGCTGGTGGCTCACACCTGTTATCTTAGTGACTCAGGGGCTGAGATCCGAGGATTTTGATTCAAAGCTGGCTCCGGCAGAAAAGTCTGGGAGACTCTGATCTTTAGTTAACCACTAAAAGCAGGAAGTAGAGCTGTGGCTTAAGTCCTGAGTTAATGCCCCAGTACTGGTACAAAAATAAATTAACTAATTTTTAAAAATAAAGTGGCTACTACTCCTGAGTCATTTCAAACCTGCTGCGGTAAACGAGACAGGTTTTTCTGCAGTCCTGTGCCTGAACCCGTAATGGTGTCAGCTTTCTGCGTTGGCCCTACATTTGTTATTAGCCCGTGCACCTGTCACTCACCTGCCTGACCCTACCCAGGGTTGCTAGAGTGAAGGAGCTGAGATTTATCCTTCTCTCTGCATTACTCCTTCAGACCCCACCCCCACTGAGCACCCGTGATCGTCTCCGTCCAACCAAGGGTCCAGGGTCTGGCTCCTCTGCTGCCAGATGCACAGGCATGGGGGACACACTCTCCTCGCACCGACACGCCCGGAGGCATGGCTGAGCCATTAGGATGGCCTGGACCCAGTGTAACACCAGCCAGCCATTTTCACACTGGTTTCCATTCCCAGCCAGCCAGTCGATACACATAACCCCCCAAGGGGGCTCCATTACATTTATGTCGAATAGTACACAATCAAAAAGATGAGTTTGCCTTTGAAAAACTGAACTTCCACCCAGAGGCAGAGAAGAACTCAAGCCAGATCTGTAGTGTTCCCTCCAGAAGCCGCTCTGTGTAGACAATATCATTTCCAAGGGGCTTGTCAATAAAACCTGTGTTCTTTCCTTTCTTCACGATCTTAAAACCAGTCCTGTCTCCATTTCAGAGCCTGTCCCAGATTGATAGAGCAAGTGTACACCGAGGAGACAAGCCTGACCACCCCAAGAGAAAGCAGCCTTGCCCACACCCACCCTGCCCCTACCCCTGCCCCAGCCCCAGCCAGACACCAGCCCAAGCCGGGGAGCACCCACACCCACCCTGCCCCTACCCCTGCC